AAGCCATAGGTGGGCTAATAGGCGTCTTGAGAAAGTCCGGATCAGGTTTGAATGTGAAGGAGACGGCCGAGATAGGCGTTGCCGACGTGATCTCGGAAGGAAAGGTAGCGGTGACGGGAGTGGTAAGCTTCCCCAACTTAGGCTTGGCGGTAGGCATGATGATTGTTGAGTTGACGTTGGTTGTCGGGATCAAGACTGGTGATAATGGGCGAGCTGAAGAGCCTGGGCTGTGTGGATTATATGAACCAGCAGCCAATCCCTTATGGTGGGAACTAGTTAGGAGTGCAGGCAGATAGAAGCAGCGAGTGAACAGACTGACTGACTGACTGGAGAAGAAGCGAAGGTGAGAGGGCAGCAAAGGCAGCAACAGACGATTATAAGGAAAGGACTGCGTCAAGTATTTGGCGCCAGAGGATGAAATTGGGAAGAGGTGGGCGCTTGAAGAAGTGAAGGGGGTGTGAAGCAGTTGGAACAATGTGGGGCTATGACGGGCTGTGAGAGTGAAGGGGTAGAGGGGTGTGTAATGAAAGAGACCTCAACCCCAGCTGGAGGTGTGGATAGGTAAGGCAATCTATGTCCGGAGTATGTACCGTACGGGATGCCACCAGACTGGGGCCGGGCGCGTGTACATGAGCCCGTAACTACCAGACACGGGAGACCACCAAGGCACCATGGGATGTAGAGAAACACAGGACAATAGGTAGAACAGCGACAACACAGCAATAACAAGCGCGTACAGAGATGCAGGATCAGGCCAAAGAGGGCGGCAACAACATGAGAGACCGTGCAATAAACCCGTAAGGGGATGTATGGCGGTGGTTAGTTATCGTTGATATGTTGCTCTTCTCTGAGTCTGAGCACTCTGCCTCACTCCGCAGCGTGTTGAGCCTGCCCCATCATCTATGCTGTCGCCAAACTTGCGATGTGAAGATGTGACTATGCGGTCCTGCCAGCCGGACGCCCAGTGACAGCTGTGCAGTATTATGCTACACAATGTCACTCTATCTCCGCTGGACCTTTGCTGCCGCACAGCAGCCGCCAATGGTTGGTTGATTCTTTTGTGAGTGGGCGCCATGCTCATGACCAAGAGAATTCAGGTCGGTTGTGTTAGGCTGTTTGCACTGACTGCACAACTCTTATGTCTACCTGGTTGATGGTGTCATGGCGGAACAAGCCAAGCTGTGATTGTGACCATAGACTTCTTCTCTCTTTCATCTGAGAAACGCGAGCGACAGTACGGATACTGGACATATTGGTCGGCGGCTCAACCTTTCAGTTTCCCATTCATCATGGTTGGTGGGCAGCAAGAGAGACGAGGCGCTGTGATGATTGTAAGTTGCAAGGACCAAGAGGTTGGATTTGGATTGGCTGACTTTGGCGGTGATAGTCGCGTTAAAAGCAGCATCAACCGCCCTACGCCAACTCGAGCATAGGACCATGCAACTGACAGGGGGCGGGACGTCTGCTGATTCGATAGAGCAGGGTTCAGTCAAGTGCTAGTCTCCCTGCTTTTTTTATTCTCGAATACGCCCTAGTCACCTGCCATCCTGGCTGAAATCTCCCTCTCATGGAGCTGTTTGGTCGCCGGAGCCGTTGTTGGCGCCGGGGATTGCTTCCTGGCCCAGATGGTCGGGAGGAATGTGATTCGACCAAGGCGGGACTCGTACAGTACCTAGGTAGGTAGTCGGCGTGGGAAAACACATGCTCAACTCTCCGGCTCTCACACAAACTGGTCTGTTTTTGGCTCACGACGTGCCAAAGTACCGAGCGAATAGGATCTCATCCATGGCCTTTTTCGCAATTCTGACAGCGACGAGGTAGGTTTGATGCTGACGAGTAGCGGTTGATGATTTGCAGCTGAATGACTTTCTGGCGAGTTCTTTCGTAACTATTGCGAGGATGAAGCTGGTTTGTCACATCCTTGAGGTCTATCTCGTGTCCCAGATGAATGATGGGAGGGGAACCCGGGGTCAATTCATGTGCTTACAGGGAGATGAAGAGTAATCTAAAGCTTCTATTTTGAACAAATGAGTGCAATTAAGATGTATGCATTGCCTAGGCAGGAACCTAGAACTCAGGCAAGTATTCATTTTACTAAGATATCAAAACTTAATAACCCTATATTTTTCTTCATAACTAGGTCTTTCCGATATTCAATTATCATTTCCTTCAGCCATCTCCAGCAAATAGCCATGATTCCTCCCTCCTCCACCTTGGCGAGGATAACTGAAAGTGGATGTGGCAAATAATTGATCACTGCGACAACTAGCTCTATTCTTGATCTCAATCACGATGCCAAAGTCCGAAACTACCTAGCAACAGCCCCAGGTGTGATCCTTATTGGACGAGTTATCAACGAAGATGAACATCTCGGCAAATAAAGCTGTGGTCGGCCAATTCCAACGAGCGACCCTCAACTACCAATATAAGATGCCAATCAGCGACCAGGAACTTTTCCCACAAGGCAAATGGCCACCAATCAACGGCTGAACATTAACGACTTACCACGCAGCACCAAACCAGAGAGTGGTCGGTCATGAATGCCTTCCAGCGGCCAATGACCTTGACAAAGGCATTTACGCTGCAAATCGACGCGCGCGCAAATAGACCCGTGCTGGTCGCAGAGGCTCTAGCAAATTCGTTTACGGAACCTCAGTGTGTACGAAAACCCACGCTGTGGTTGGGTTCGATGTTTCGGCCTCCTCTGGCGATACGCGAGACAGCTAGATGACCTAGGTCAACTCTTCTGTTGGAGAAGCGCGCGTCAATGCGAGGCATTCTTGTTGGAGCTATTCTTAACAGGTTGCTTGACCAACACTTGCTACAACGTTCAAGCTTCAAACAAAATATATGGCACAGGAGATATATAATTGGTTCATCTGGCATGCTATTGATAAGCGCCACTGACAATGGGTGCCAGGGCATATCATGGACCGCTCTTGTAGACCTTGGTCTTGGTTATGACTCCAGACACGGCGTCACGCGTATGGCCAACAGTTGGTCTGAACTTTTGAAGCGGCGTTTGCTTGAGGTTCTGCACATGGTGGCCAGTACTTACGCTTGTTGGTCATATACCTGGATCATTGCTATTCTGTACCACCTATGTCGTGAGCTCAACTCTTGTGGTGCTGTGTCAGATGCGATACAGTATGATACCTAGATCTATGAAATACGCTCGCTTCTCAACTGCGATTTGTCGTCCTGATCTAATACAACGACGGCCGGAGTCGGTTAATCTGTCTTGTTGAGCATGGTCCAGTGTGGTCTATACCGCCCATAGATAAACCGCTGTCAGTCATTGGTGCTGAGTAGAACAGACAGGTGAAGCAACCTTCAATATCTTTTGCTGGCTAGCTCAGTGAGACTTCTCACCTGCGTTGTCTGAGGGGTTAACCCCGTGCTCCAAAGCTATGGCTGTGTATAGGGTAGCAGCATATCCATTATTCCACTAGGTACATATTTCATCCTCGTTTTGACCTAATAGGGCGAGGTAATGCCATGTATGAGATAAAAACCATGTTCAAGATCTTCTAGCGGTCAGCAGAGTTATGGGGGAAAACTTTATATCATTTCCATTGCTGAGCTTGCACCGACTTCACCAAAGCAAACTGTCCTAGGCATAGCAACTCATAGCATAAGGTACTTCAATATATAGTACAAAACCCCATGAAAACACAACAGGGTAAGAAAAGGGGGTACACTCACCGGGCCCATCCAGTGCTCATATACGGTAGTAAGGTATCTGAGAAGCTAATACTCAACCTTGAATAATACTTTGTAATGAGAGTCACCGCCCACCTCAACAACCTCACTCTTAGCTGGTTATGACTGTGAGTTTCAGTTTAAGGCAATGCAGAACACAGGCCTTATGTTTGCTACTGAAGGATTCAATACCATCCAATGTTAAGAACACCGTTACTGCATGTCCATAGACTAGAACGCTTTGACAGAAGGTAGGAAGGAAACGTGTAAAAGATAGGTAGTTACCTAGGTAGGTAGTTCTGAGTGTCACGCTACACCACCTACCTACCAGTAGATATGCCAGTAGGGCAGTGGCCTACCTACCTACCAGGTAGGTAGGTAGGTACTAACCTAACAGGCTCTAGAGGCTCAAGAGGCTCAAGAGGCTACAGCTCAATCGCTATACCACGTATGACCGACCCACTTGTTTTGTTCCTTCTTTTCCAGGCTGAAATCGAGCCTGACTGCCTGCCTAAGGTACCTGGCCACATAGGTAAGCCCGGGTCTCTGCTGCCTTCCGATCCAGCTCCTCCCCACCGTACCGTCCCGCCTTCCCGTGCTAAGTTAATGGTCACAGTCCGGTCAACTGAGCTGAGGAAAGACAGAGTCCGTGACTTTTATTTATCATCATCTCGAAGGCTGCTGTTTTAACAAAACCAAAACCCAAAAAAAAAACCTTTTGCCCACCAACGACCTGCTTGTCTCCTCTTTACGCTCACAGGTTTCGACTTTGTCAAGACGGCTGGCTAGTACAGTACATTAGCACAGGCCTCGTTTCCTCTGCTTAGTACCATATTACAGCGTGTCTCTGCCTACCTAACCTAGATACCGAAGCCGAATTTAATGGCCCTGGCTCCGTCATAGGCACCCCTCTCGGCCTCACTTGACTCTTACTCGACCCTCCGTCACCACTCGCTACAGGACCATTACATTCCATACGATACCTACCTACCTACACCATCTACGTGCTTGGGTGCTTTGCATAAGGCTACTTGCTGTTAGTCACCCGCCTTCAAACGCCAACGCCACCTCCCGATTTCTGCTCTGTGCCCTCAGACATCCCTCCACCCTTGGTCTTCTCCCAAGACCTCCCTTAAACCGCCACGATTCCCCCCACCACGAGGAAGCGGAAGGCTGCTGAGGCGACGATTTCCTCTGCCAACAGAGACGAAGAGCCCAACAAGAGAGTCATCGCCTCAGCTGCCGTCGTAGACAAACACGCCCTGCCCCCAACTCCACTCACCACCGCCAGCAACCCCATGGATTCCGAGGAGGAATACATGTCGGCTCTTTCGAGCGACGACGAGATAATGCAGGACGAGAGCGGCGATGAGATATCCGCAGGTGAAGGTGTGTTGCCCAATATCCTCCGGGATCTCCCATTCCACCACCTTGGTTACTAATGATGTTGACATGACAGACTTTGATGACGAAGAGTTCGACGAGCCCGACCCTGACTTTGGCCTGATCAAAGATGCAGAGAAGAAGAAGAAATCCGCACATGTGGTCTCATACAAGGTCTATGAACCGAGCGATATTCAACGCCAACAAGATGACATGATCAGCGAAGTCAATATGATTTTAGACATGCAGAAAGAGGATGCGGCCATCTTGCTTCGCCATTTCCGATGGAACAAGGAGAGGTTGCTTGAGGATTATATGGATAGGCCAGAAAAGGTGCTCGAAGCTGCTGGGTTAAGCAGCAATACATCCAGCCCTCCAAAGCTGGAGGTTATCCCTGGCTTCGCGTGTGACATATGCTGTGAGGATGAGGAAGGCCTCGAGTCATTTGCCATGAAATGTGGTCATCGCTACTGTGTTAATTGCTACCGACATTACTTGACACAAAAGATCCGTGAAGAGGGCGAGGCTGCTAGGATCCAATGCCCCTCTGATGGATGCGGTCGCATCCTTGACTCAGCGTCACTCGATGTTCTGGTCACCCCAGCACTCGCCGATCGATATCAAGAATTACTCAACAGAACGTACGTCGAAGACAAGGACAATTTTAAGTGGTGTCCTGCCCCAGACTGCCCCAACGCTCTCGAGTGCGGCGTCAAAAAGAAGGATTTGGGCAAGATCGTACCTACCGTCGAGTGTCGATGCGGGTATAGATTCTGCTTTGGTTGTCCGAACCCCGACCACCAACCAGCTCCTTGTGAGCTCGTTAAGAAATGGCTGAAGAAGTGCGCCGACGACTCAGAAACAGCCAACTGGATCTCAGCCAACACTAAAGAATGCCCCAAGTGTAACTCGACGATCGAAAAGAACGGAGGCTGCAATCACATGACTTGTCGAAAGTGCAAATATGAGTTTTGCTGGATGTGCATGGGACTTTGGTCCGAGCACGGCACCAGCTGGTATAACTGCAATAGATATGAGGAAAAGAGCGGGTCTGAAGCGCGTGATGCACAAGCCAAATCCCGGACATCTCTCGAACGATATTTGCACTACTACAACCGATATGCCAACCACGAACAATCGGCCAAGCTCGATAAAGACATTGCTCAAAAGACCGAAAAGAAGATGGTTCAGCTTCAGACAGCTTCGGGAATGTCCTGGATTGAGGTTCAGTACCTCAATTCCGCGTCCCAGGCTCTCCAAACATGTCGACAAACGCTCAAGTGGACATATGCTTTCGCTTTTTATCTCGCCAGGAACAACCTGACGGAGATTTTCGAAGATAACCAGAAAGACCTCGAGATGGCCGTGGAGAACCTGTCTGAAATGTTCGAGAAACCCACTGCAGAATTGTCTGACCCCAAACTCAAAGTTGACATCATGGACAAAACCTCATACTGCAACAAGCGTAGAGTCATTCTGCTTGAGGATACAGCCGAAAACCTTGCGATTGGTATTACCACCCCGACCACTTCCAGTATTCCGTTCATTTGACTGATGTTCACGCCTTTAGGTAAATGGATTTTCAACTCGGACCTATTGTCCGCGACCACTTCTGCGCCCGTCAACCGTCGCTGAGGCTCAATTACGACACGACGCTAAAATGACTATTCAACAAAATGACTTTTTCAGCACGAAGAAGTCAGAGAAGCCATTGGCCTATATCTCAACAGCTGCCGTGTATCAGGGCTATGCCTCCACTGATTGGCTGTATTACTCAGCCCTGAATTTTGCACAAACATCGGATCTGACGAGGGTAGCACAGCAAGGTTACACAGGGGAAGAAAATCTGCCCAAACTCGCTGGCTGCTCTTTTATCCAATGGCTGACTAGAACCTGGCCTCAATCTATTCCTGTATCATTTGTTCTTGCTGTTCTTCCATAGTTCTCTCGTCGTCAGTCATCGTGACCTGTTACCCCGTGAAAACCGACGAGGGATGGGATCATGGCGTTAGCCCGTTGCCAGAGGCGTTGGCGTGAAGGAAGGGTTATGCTGGTGGAGCCTGGAAGATCTTGGGTTATAGACTTGTCATGGCATGGTGTTTTCAGTTCTTGGTGGTAAGGATCATGATATTTCAACAAGCGGGCACGTAAATGAGAACAATCACATATGCTGTTTATTTTTATTTTTAGATATTCAAGAATGACTGAAAGTGTAGCACTTCTAAAAATCACACAGAGACAATTTTTGTGACAACACAACCAATTCGGAAGCTCGAAGTGTTAGAACAGATCGTACGGACGGGATGTAAGTGGGATGTCAAGGTCCGATTGCATTATTTTATGATCTCAGTGACAAAATTATATTGCCAAAACGCCTATCTAATATTTGACTTACTCATGTTGTCTTCTGTCGTTTAATGCATAGAGAGACAAGACATACACGCACTAACTAGTTCCGTAAGACTCCAGCTCCGTCCATATTCTGTTTCCCCCATCCAGTTTAGTAAACAATACTGCATTTACAACGAAAAAGCAAAAAGAAGAACGCTCGACAAATGCTATGTTCATTACGACCAGCCTCACTTTGGAAAGCTTGTTGGCTATAAGATGAGAGGTTTCCAAGCAAGAATGGAAGTTCTATGCAAAGGCAAAACGGGATAGGTTGAGTTTCTTGGGAGGAAGGTCGACCTCATCTTCGTCTTCCTCGTCACTAGCGGGGATGATTTGATCTTCGCTTCCACATTTATTAAGGTCCGCGACTTCATCCAGATTGACTTTTGGCAAAGGTATAAATGCAGGGTTGACAGGTACACCAGAGAGGAACTGCTTGTCGGTGTTATTGGTACGCGGTTTGGGTAGCTTAGGGGACATTGGGCCGTTCATCGCACGAGCACCAAGACGCTGTAGAGGGGTCATGCGAGAAGCTGCCGTTGAAGGTGCAGTTGAGGGGGTAGAGCCTGGACTGAAGACGGAAGAGCGGCGTGATGCAGTCGAAGCAGGAGTCTCGTTTGGGTTGGTATAAGAGAACTGGCGGATATCTGGCCTCGAGGGAGTATGTGAAACCCGCGATGCAGACGCCGCAGATGAAGGAGGAGGCATAGAAGTGTCAAAGGATGACATGGAGCTTTCGTCATCCTTGACAAACGAGATATGGCTCTCACTGTCTGTCGTTGTTGAAGTCTCTTGGCTCTGCTTCTCTTCAAACACCGACACACTCTTCTTGGTTTTATCGGCAGGCTTCCAACCCTCAAAATCAGGCAATGCCAGAAGCGCTTCATCGAGCGAATCATCCGACAACAGATAAGCGTCGCTCTTCGCCCGCCTTGGACTCCTCCGTAGTTTCGGCGCAGGGAAAAATCTGCTCTTTTGTGGCAAATCTTCCTCAGGTCCAGCTTCGCTTTCCTCACACAAACGCGCCTTCTTGGGTGGTCGGTTTGCAGGGTCAGTCGATGCGCTAGCAATAGTGCGGCAAGGTTCGGTGCCTTCAGAAGACGTACGCCTCGTAGCATTGGGAGGATTGTCCACAAAATTGTTGAGCATGTTGGCGATGGGTTCCGTACGGCGGCGATGAAGCCTTGGGGATGTACGGGTGCGGGTCACATCCAAACCCCGAGAGTGACTCGGAGCAGCATGAGTCGTTTCTTCAAGATACGGCCTGGGGAGCGGAAACACGCGTGGTACCAACCCTCCTCCAGTAATCTGAGAAACCCTCTGAGGGTCAACTTCAAAGCAATTGGGATCCATCTCGCCCATAGGTATCCGACTGGATCCCTTGAAATAGGAGCTGATAGGCTTCATCGCGGGCGGAGGCTGGTCAATGGCGCCATGGGCCAGCTGTGAATGCCTTCTCTTGGACGGTGTTGTCGAGGTGACGATTAAAGTCTTGGTGATTGGGTTCATGTCACCTCTGGCGATTGATCGTGCTATCGCAGGCTCTACGAAGGCTCCGATGAAGGGCATCTCCTCTGCCGTACGTTCTCCGTCCAGGTCTGTAAGGTGAACCAGTTCCCGTTTGGTCGGACAAAAAACCCACTGATGCAGGAATGTCAGTTCGGCTTGGTAGAACTGCGTCAAGTAGTTTTCGGACACCCTTTTCCCTTGCATCTGAACCATCCGGACTATCCGTTCTGGTGCCTTTGTCTTGCGAAGCATACGATATGCTGTCTTCAGCCCAATGCCTGGGAGTCCGCGCAAATAGTCGCAACCACTGAAGATGGCCATTCGCCGAAATTCGGTATCAGACCAACCGGTCAATGAAACCTCTCTACAGGCGCAAAAATCCTTGCGGTTGATCTCTATACAGTTGCCATATTGGTCCAGCTTGGTGAGAAGCTTCTTGGCGCCGAAAACGAGGAGATCAGAGTCGTCCGAGATGATACCATTAATGAGACCCTGTCGCTCGAGATAGACAAGCTGTGCATCGGCTTCGTATGGGGCGACAACGTAAGGGATATCAAGCTTTTTGAGCAGTTGAATGAGAGCAGATGCCATCTCCGGGGTGATATCAATGCATTTCTGGAACTCCTGTGTGGCCTGGGCAGGTTTTCCGGCGCGCAACAGTTCCATTGCAGCCTTCTTCTTCTCATTTCTATTGGTTTCCCGGGATTCTTCTGTAGCAGCTTTGCTTGGGAGAAAATCGCCATCGAATACCATGTAGGGTGTCACACCAAAATGCCGAAGCATGCGTACTCGATTCATGGCAGCATGTAGGTATCTAGAAATGGCATTAGCGTGCACCACTGTCATAGGGTTGACTCCTCCAACTTACTTTTGAGTCGGCTTTCCCTGACCAAGCTCTAATGCACAGCAATAGGCGGCACGATGGAGCCAACCATACGCGTCAACTCCGAGAGTCTGACCATCGTACTTTTTGAGCTGAGTCGGCTTCTGAATAGATTTGAGAAGGGGCAGAAGCCCTTGAGAACGATCAGTTTATATAAACAGTAATGGATGATCGGAGAGAGATATACCTGATACACCCATGTTGAAGACTGGAGAGGGCTTCAGTGCTAGTGGCGATTATTGATCGTTGGGCTTTGTAGTCGCAGCCCCAGAAGGGACTTGGGCAGCTTCAAGCCAAAATGGTTCGTCTTTGCATGCGTCAACAATTAGGCATTGAGATGGGCCGTAATGAGCTTTGCTGTGCCGAGGATAGACGCGTCGAAAAGCTGATAAGGACGCGATGGTAGATCGTGCAGCGATATCGAGGGCGGCGATGGTTAAAGAAACAGGTCTGTCTAACAAGCAACAAATTGGAGATATAGCACAGCCAAGTCCGTTAACAAGTACGAGGCACAATGTTGTCGAGAGGCTGAAGGTGCGGCTCCAAGTCAAAGGTTGTCGAAAGAGACGTCTCTAGAGGTGGAGATATTTTGCTTGTGGTGATCGTTTGCTAGGTACCTGAGATACCTAATAAGGTTGGAGGTCAACAGCCTTGGACTAAAAAAGCACTTAGTGAAAGTGGGCTGCCTTGGATGGGACGCGACCCCTGAAGCTTCCGTCTTAATGGGCTCCATAGGCGCGTCGATAGGCGCGATGTTTCCATTCCTTATGGAGATCACTGAACCCCTGGGATAAGCCTAGTTCCCGCTGCTCGGTATTTCCCCAGCAACTTCCATGAGGTCGTTGAAAGCCGCCCCACTGAGGATGTCCAGTTGTCAGGTCCATCCAGCCTGATATTCTCGACTAGCTACCTACCTAAGTACTATAGGTACCTATTTATCGACGAGTGAGACATATGAAACATGGTAAACTGAAAGGTCTCAAGTATTACATCATCCAATGTCAAGGAAAATTTTAACAGTTAAATCACTTTACTGGCTCCCTATCTTCTCAACTCACCATTACCTACCAACCTATCATGGAGTTGCGACAAGTACATATATAATTATTCAACCAACCAAACATTGAAAACAACGAGTATACGTGGGACCAGGATCTCAGCCAGGATGTGAAGGTTAGAACAAAAAAAAAAAATTTAATTTTTTTTTACCAAATCATACACTTACTGAAGTGTTTTTTCTGTTCAGTAAACCACTTGTCGATTATGTATATCCATCTAAGAAATCTTACTGGCCCATTATGATAACAGTGGAGCACTAAAGGTTCCTGGTAGGTCAGCTACTATACCTAGTACTCAGAAAGAAAAAAATCCTTGCAGGTTATAGCCACGACCACATACATAGTTTGTACAAGCCGACAATACACATACAGTACCCAAAAGATAAAGATTCGCCATGCCCACCACTCTTCACAAGACCCGCAAGCAGATTTCCAAAAAGAGAAATGGCGTCGTCAATGCTCTACATGAAAAGTCCAGAGACTCAATGCGCCTTCACAAGGCTGGTGTAAGAGATCAACGCATTGAGAAACTCGCAGCTGCCAGGAGTAAAAAGGAACAACCTCTAGGTACACTATGAACACACGACTCGGCCAACTCTTATAATATCTTGACTTACTTACCTATCTAACCGCGTTTCAGTTGACCGCGTTGCTTTCTTTCAACAAGCTCTACGCCTTAAGGACAGAGATAACAAAGGTGCCCCTGAAATTGATGAGGTTCAGCGCATGATTCACAGGCAAGTCTAGAGAAATAGCCTTGGTTTACAAAGATTACTAAGGAATTCCTAGTTTCGTTCATCAATACGATGAGGAGTATAATGAAGCCAAGAAGGCCCGTCGCCCTGGTCGGCCTGCTAGTGTGAAAGAAGATATCCTCAAGGCAAAAATCAACATACTCGAGGAAGAGTACAAGAGTGGGTTTGGTACGTTTTGTAAACCTACAAGGAACATGCGGGAACTAACATTGCGACAGTAATCCCTGATCTCTTGGACAATGTAAATGTGAACGCACTTCACCTTTGGGAAGGCTCCTGGTCATATCTTACCCAACTGAAATGGGTCAAGGTCAACAGTGAAGGCCAAGTCAGACCGACCAGCTTCCCATCAGGCGGCACCAACTGAGTATCTAGTGCATATCAGCATGCACCGATTGCATAGCAGAACCGGAACTGAGATGACTGTGGTCTTGTATACAGGCGAGCTCGACCAAGCAGTAGTTGTACAAGGACTATTGGAAAGGCACCGGGTCAAACGAGCGAGACCATAACCCCCATCAAGTGCTCAGCTTGAACACCAAGGAATACAACACAACCCGATTCTAAGGTTCAGATGGGCAACTGATCTATCGCCACCACCTTCCTACCGCAAGCAATGCGGGAAGATTCTAGAAGCTAGATACAAACAGGTTGCCTGGACATCCCATCAATAGTCCTGAGCGATGGGTAGATATGGTGTTGGAGGGATGATTTGATTCATACGTTCAGACTGAAACTAGAGCGAGAGAAGGAAGCTACAAGTCTTCTTACGCTCCCAATTCTTCGATTACCTACAGCTCTATGACTATTGAACATCAACGGCGACTCAAATTATGTCATGTATAAACCCTCTTAGTCAGGAAAGGGTTACTAGAACCATCTAGCATTTCTTACTCATGATATGCTCTGAACTGCCTATTCTACAATTCAAGATTCGTGTCCAGAATAAAAAATTTACATATGTGACAACCACCGATGTCCTTTCGACCGCCATTAAAACTGTCACCAGTAAAAATTGCTTCCTTAGCACCCTTGAAGTGTTTCTACTCCACGTGATGGTGATGCCCCGCTCTGATGGAAGAGATCGTCCAGTCTTAGTCCAGTAAATGATTAGCAAACCCGCCGGAAAGTTGTCGTCCCCCAAAATTTCAGGATGAGCTTTTGAACTGTCTTAGAAACTTCTATCATCATCTGTATACAACACATATTTCCTCCAATTCCCTCAACAGCGACTTTCTCTTCCTCCCTATACATTCTATACAATTTTACACCGGTTCTTCAATAATTTAATCACAATGTTCTCTGCCCGCAACCTCGTCCGATCTGCGCCCCGCGCTGTCTCCCGATTCTCAGGCGCTGCTCTGCGACAGACCGCCCGTCCCAGCGCCTTCACCAAGGCTGCTTCTGCCCTACGACCCGCCCGGGCTGGATTCTCTACCACAAGCTTCCGCAAGGCCACTGAGAACGATGGTGAGCTTAGCGCCAAGCTTGAGAGTGAGATCAAGATCGAGGAGGACATCAAGGCCAGCGAGCAGGACCCTGCCAGCATCAAGGATTTCTTGAATAACAGCGCCTTTGAACTCATTGACACCCCCGGCCAGGAGATTGTCAAGCTGGTTCGCGACTTTGGCGACGAGAAGTCAGTATTCGTACATCCCATTGGTTTCAACAGCAAGCTAACAACGCCATTGCAGGATCACCGTCAGCTTCTCCATTGCCGACATCACCAATTACGACCCTTACGGCGAGGAGAGCGCACTCGAGGATGAGGGTTTCGAGGATGAGGGCACCCAGGGCAGCCAGCGTAACGCTCGCGCCAACGAGGAAATCGATGAGGAGCTCGAGGAGGATGCTGAGGAGGAGAGCAACCCCCCTATCAACCTGTCAATTGTTGTCGAGAAGCCTGGCAAGGCCTCTGGAGCCCTGAACATCGATGCCAGCGCCCAGGAAGGACACATTGTTGTCGAGAACCTCTTCTATTACACCGACGCCTCGGTCGCCAAGGTCGAGAGCCCCGACGCCGCCCAGAAGCGTGCTGATGTCTACCCCGGACCTCCATTCGGCAGCCTCGACGACGACCTCCAGGTCCTCATGGAGCGCTTCCTCGAGGAGCGTGGAATCACTCAGGCCCTCGCTGTCTTTGTTCCCGACTACGTGGACGTCAAGGAGCAACGAGAGTACACCCGGTGGTTGAACAACGTCAAGGCTTTCATTGATGCTTAGGATGACTGATGAGTCAACCAATGCAACGAAAAGTTTTTTCAGGGGATGGAAGAGCAGAGGAGTCTTCGGTTTCAGATACGATGTATTAAAAGTAAGAATTGCCACTCTTGTACTATAGGATAAGATCCACGAGATCAAATGCACGCTAAGATATGTGTAACGATACGATGCCAGTTTACTATATCCCTTTGAGATTGTGATGCGTAATGTTGATTAGTGTTGACTGCATTGAACAATCACGGGTCTTGAGCGAGGTCGTTAGTAAGCAATATATCGTCCAGATAATCTTGCTATCTAGTTAGCAACAATCCTAGACCTCAAAAACTCCCACAACTCCAAGTAACGAGTGCGCAAGCCCGCTATGCATCTTCGGGGTTCATCGACTTCTGATGCATACATCACCCCCGTGCTACTCTCCGGCGCAATGAAACTCTATTCCAGAAGTGTCTTTCTGACACAGAAAAGTCCAAAAAAAAAAAAAAAAAACTACTTCGTATAGCAATCCCAACGACTAAGCTCCCAATATTCCCTCTGTTGTTCGTGTTTGCGGAAGAAAATCGCATCCAATGCAGGACACAACCCAAGTATCGAAACAAAGGCAAACGTCTACATGATGCCCTCGAGCGACCAGTCACCCTTTTGCGCCCGTTCAAGGACCTCGCGGCCCTTATCGGTCAGATCGGGCTTGCCATCATTACCGGTGACATGCTTGAAAAAGACGGGCTGCCACGTTTCCTTGTTGGCCTCACGTTGCCGGGCCTTCTCGCGCTGAGCCTCTTCGAGCTCGACCTTCACCTGGGTAGCCTTGCCATATTGTTTGGCGTGGATAGCATCTGTGACACCACCCCAAAGAGTCAAGGATTCGTTGGGAAGCTGCTTCTCCTTGGGGGGGATGATCTTGGGCGCAACACTGAGGGGTGCGATATCGATAATGGTGTATTGCTCTTCCACAGGTACGGATTTCTGCCGTCGGTTAGATTTATGTACTTGAACACAGTGAGTTCCCCACTTACAACTGGTCTGGGACCGAGAGTAAAAACGACCTTCTCCTTCCACGGACCACTCAACCGAGCAAGGACATGCTCATCAGGCACGTCCTGAACTCGAGATTTGTCATCGTTCTCGGGATCGTACTTGAAGACAACGCCGTCAATCTTGTTTGTGGTGCGTCCCAGCCAGCCTTCCTCAACATAGTGCAGAATGACCTTGATCTTGGTCTTGGGGCATGTGATGTAAGCGAATTCGCTGACCGATACGCTCAAAGCTCCGCGGAGAAGACCGCCCAGATGGGCCGCCGGATGGGTAAGCTGGTAAGTCTCTCCACCACGCTTTTCGAGGGTTATGAATATGCCCATGTTGTGCTCCCCAGGGAGGACCTTGACGGAGGTGCCTGTGAACTTGGCAGTGATCTGGTCAAAGCCACGGGCTGTGATACCCTTCTCGGGGCAGGTGACGTTGAAGGCGCTCACAGGGGGGTGGTGTGAGGTCTGTTCAGTAAGATAGGAGACGCGAATAAGCTTGTCGTCCTTTGCAGCGCCATGCTGGGGCACAGAGAGTGAGACGTTTGAAGCGTTATTATCCCCCTTTGCTGCCACTTTCAGCGCTGAAAGGCCACCCTTGGAGGTGCCATTAGTCTGTTGGAGGCTTGAAGTGTCGATCTTTGGGGCATTATCTTCAGTTTCCCAGTTACACTACAAAGCAGTCAGTGTTTCTGGAATCCCATCGTCGTATGGTTTCGTATCGGTGGAAGCAGAAAAAGATGACGTACCCTAAAGAACTCGCCAAGACATGAATTGTAAGGTTTGCAGGGCTTTCCTTTGGCATACTTCAGATCCTTGGTCAGCCAAAAGCGTACGACCTCGAGCATTCGATCGAGAGGGTCATCGGAAGTGCCCATAGCAACGAAGGCATTGGGGGCATCGATATAGGTCCAGTATTCCAAGTTCGGGGTAGGTTCAAGTAACTGCGACGGCAGCGAGAATCTAACTGCTGCAAGATCTGAAACGCCGATGAACCTATCGTCGCAACAAGCGGTCAGCATTTGAAAACAAACAATGGCATCATCCGGTGTCTTGAATGGCAAGTCTTTTCGCGTTGCCAGGTTTGCTCCCACTGCTTACTCCGCTCTACACGAAGCGGACCTGTCGTCCGACTTCGCTGGCTTGGACCCCAACAGAGCGGTGGAAGCTCTCACGGCAAAGGCATGGCCGACGGAGGAATTGTGAGTCTCTTACTTCTTCAAAATCCCCAGAAACGTTCGCAACTTGGAAGTATCGCTCTGCGTCTCGTCAGGCGCGTCGACCGTGGGCGGGGGAGTCGATGACGACATGGTCGTTGATAAGCCTGGAGTCGATGAAGGAAGACGATGCTTGGTAGTTGTGGGTTATACTGTCGATATGGCTTTTGGTGAAGAGTAACGACACGCAGCAGGAGTTGATGCGATAGGTATGCAACAGACTTCTGCTAGTATAGTAAGTGGTAGCAGAAAAGAGACGATGCCGGGGACAAAAGAAAAAAAAAGATAGGAGGTGGGAGCGAAGAAAAAGTAGAAGCCTTGTGGTTGCAGACTGAATCGCAAAAGTCAAGAAAGGAAGCGGGCGGTGTTGGTGACGTTTTTGGCGGGGTGGGTTCTGGCCCAGGCCAAACGAAATGGAGTTGTGATCCTAACCCCCTAAACTTTGAGGGGACCTTCAGGTACCTGGTCAGACTTCTGCTTCAGGTTGTCCATGCTCATAGGCCGTACCCTACACTATTTCACCCGACGCTTCTTGGCTCGAACGGCCTGAGATCGATGCCCATCGGCGGCTCTGGATTGGTGGGGTGAGAGGTTTTGATAAACGTTGAGATGAACTTTGCTCGGGTGCCGTAAGCTAAGGTCCTCAGTATTCAATCTTTGATGTCGTCCCATAGGCAATGCGGAGATGATATGGACAATGGCTCTATGAGTTTGGCAGCACTGGATCGACCTTGACAAGATTTGTGCAACTTCACAATGAACATCTGCATAATGATCGACGCATGGATCCAATGCTACTCAACCACTTCAACTGATGCGATTCCTATCGGTGCTCGTACATACACAACTTGGTCAAGCCAATCATCAGCGCACATGGCATTGTCCCCCGAATTCCAATACTGTCCATTCGTCCATTTCCCCTTTGATATTTCGGTAAAAGGCAACAAACCAAATTCTACTAAACCCAAAGTCGCATTTCAAGGACTTTAATTCTTGTCAAACAGTATTGGCACGGGGTCTTGTTCAGCTGTACCAGTGGTGCCATTCCCTATTCAACTGGACTACTCCTCGTGAACATATCACTCACAAGGTACGTGGATGCTAGAATCGGTTGCCGTAGTTGTGACTTTCATGACTAGAGGCACCAAGGTAGTTTAATACCACATACTCTCGATGGATTGGATGCTGGTGAGAGCACCATTCGTCTCTTCACTCCTGATCCCCAACCAAAGCTATCATTTGTTCTTTGCCCACCAAGACCGGATGGAGGTCATTCGAAATCAACAACACACTTTATCACATGTAACCACCCCAGTAACAGACATCACTATACACGTACAAACTACCTATCATGACATATAACGATAATTCAACCATGAAACGCTGGACAAGTCTGCTTAAACAAAACCTCATCTGTAATTATGTTGATATATATACAACAAAAGATTCCATATTGATAATAAATAATTCCAGACCAGTGTGCAAAACTCCAGGCGCAAGCCTTTAGCAATTCTAACAAATGCAGGTGAGCCACCTCGACCGTTTTCATGCCACACACAAGCCTACCTATTCAATCTCCAATCCATCCCTCGAGCGCCATGCATATCGGATAATAGTGTTCAAAAAATGAGTCAGGTGTACAGTGCCGCTTTTGGGCCTGGCAAGCACTGTCACTGTATCGCTGATAAGAGTATCATGAAAATCACAACTAAAATGAAGAAGTAGGAGGAGGGGGGGGGGGTTCCAATCGGCAACTTGATTTATTGCTGCTGCTGCTCATTGCCCCAATTCTCGTTGAGAAAAGAATCCCATGCAGGCTCTTGGTCGCCGAAGGTTTTGGTGGGTGTGCCGCTATCGAAGCGATCCCATGATAGCTCAGGGTAACTATCGGCAGGGATGCCGAGACCGACGTCTTCCTCTTTAACATACTTGGACTCGCCGCCGTAAGGATAAGATTGGGAAGCCCCCCAGTTGTGAGGTTCAGAATAAAGGTTAGAGCTGAAGGTCTCGTTCATGCCCTCACCCATCAACAGCCTGGCCTCAGTTGGTAGGGCTGAAGTGAAAGCCGAGCTGTCTGGATCATATTCCATCATGTGAGGCGGCTGTACGTTTGCAAAAGATGCTGTGCAATGAGGTTGCGGCGTCTCCGGATGAGACCCTAAACCTGGTGTGAGAGCTGAGGGCGACATGGCCGTGTCGCTCCTTGGCTCTGAAATAGGGCCTGACATGGAAAGGCTTCGATTGCCGCCTTGTCTATTGCTAAACGGTGGGCCATAGTTGATAGGCTGGAAGTTTGGTTCAAAATGCTGCTCCATGGGGGACGAGATGGTGTTGTTTTGTGTGTGAAACCCTGAGTAGCCTGGCGTGGAGTATCTTTGGGAAAGAGATTGGGCTTGTTGCTCAGCTTGAGGAAACATCCTCGCGAATTCCATATTGATTTCGTTATTGCGCCAGTCGCTCTCAGTGGCCGAGATCATTTGTGACATGGCCACACGGTTAATGAGATATGCGTCCACCCTAGCATTGAAAGCGGGGTTGTCGGTTTGCATGCTCTGCCTGAGAATCCGGTATGATCGAGGGAATTCATCATCCTCTTCCTCGTACATCTCCTCCTTCATAACGATCTCCTCTGTGATTCGGAAGGCCTTGCCAGTTCGTTTCTTGTGGATTTCGCTGGCCATCTTGGCCGACTGAACACGGGCTTCAAGACTTCGATCCGATCTCCTTGAGGCAGCAATATACGCTCGCTCTTGGTTTTCTTCGTGGGAACGCTCAGTCTGGATAGACGTGTTAGCGATGCTGTCCCTGTACATGTATTGCAAAGGGTTGAGGTATAAGTGTTTTTACCTTTCGGGTTGGGGCAGGCTTGGATGAGTCTCCCATGTTCGCGGCATCAAGGGATCTTTTAGGCATATTGGCGCTAGGCAATTGACTTTTGGCAATTGTATGACAATTATCCAACGGTTGGAGGATGATGGAACGCTGGTAGGCTGACAGCTTTGATTGTTGAATGCTATTACAAACCTAGATCAAGATACTCTCAAACCGATATCGTCGAACGAACAAGGCAACACAATTGGTGTATGTGAATGGGAAAAGCAGGAGTATTCTCGAGGTGCGTTAAAGGGGAGATGTATTTTATAGGTCGGCGCCTTGACAGATATGCTTATAGGTGCTTTATGTTTGGTAATTGGACTTGAGCTGAATGCTCTAGAGTTCGAGTTTCTTAACGAGAAGCCACAACTGATGCGAAGGCGAGAAGTTTTCGGTTGATGGAAATAAGAAGTAAGTCAAACCAAGAAAGTCCCGAGAGGGGGCCGGGCGACGCTCTTGTATTATACACAAACAGGGGAACAAAAAAAAACCGAAAGCTAAGGTAACCCCATGGACAGCAACCGCAACAAGGACAGGCGGGTTGCAGACGCGGGAAGGACTTGTAGCTCGATCCGAAGGCGATCCCACGACTATGATCGAGCGTAGTTATGACGATCGATCTCGATCAAGGGCTCTCTGTTAGCGCTAAGCACGAGGGATAAGTACCGTCCCGTATCGACCTAGCCCCGCCCTCCTACGGTCGGTAAGGTAGCTTGACCTTATTATCCCTAGGGAAGGAAAGAAAACTCAGGACCTTGATCCTAAAATGACAAAAAGACTTAGGTAAATTTGCATAATAGTGAGATATATTTTGCGGAGTGTATTTTGGCACCCTATACCAAGGTCTGGTGTTTTCTTGCATCCCCCATCAGGCTCCGCAATCCGCATATCTATGGATGGATTTGTGCCCCCGGCACTCCTCCGGTCCTCATCACTCAGTGGCTGGACCTCTCTCTGTGAGGTTGCCATCTCCATTTGGTTCCCCCCGCTCTTGTTGGGAGAACCGCCAACCACGGCCGCCGGAGTTGAGAATCTACCACTGCAGCCGAGTACAAGGAGGGTAGATACCGTACTGTAGGTAGTTCAGAAGAGACAGCTCTCTTCTGAAACCTCGAGACATCCAGGAAATCCTAGATCACTCTCTATAAGATCCACGAATAGGATGTGCGAGTTGAGAAAACAGCATAGCCCCAATCTGTCCAAAGACATGGACGATATGCTGCCTGCATACCGCCGAAACCCTGCTCTTCTTTTACTTCTGCGCCGTGCATGAGGATTGCAGTACATGCATACAGTACATGCGTAGCGACGCCTCTCTGTAACCCTCCATGCTAAGGAACGCCGAATCCCTGCGATATGTTGCAAATTCGTATTGTTAGGGACACCCAGCGTCACAAAGGCCACTCTACCTATGTAGGTACGCCTGTCCCAGCGGTCTTTAATCCGGAAAGGCTTACCAGTCTGCTCGATCGCAGTCTCTATGTTAGTACGTATGGACTTCTGTTCATCGCATCGGCAAAGTATCTTGTCCGAAAGGACCCCGGAAACCCACCAAGAGAACCCTTGGACTGTGAACCTTGCGATTTTGTCGTGCCATTCTGCTAAGCCTCCTCCCATGTTACTTACTGTGCGGTCTTGTATTAACTTATTGGCTTGGATTTGGTTGTCTCACTCAATGGACAGGCCTGGCCTCACGCACCTCCACTGCCTGAGTGAATCCTTCCTCTGGCTTTGCCAACGGCTAAGCATAGCACGTCTTCCCCCATTCTACTGCACCGTGCCGTGACACTATAGGAGGAGACTGCAGCACAATGCCTGGGCAACCTTGACATCGAAAAAGGCATGCAAATAGCCCAGTATGGGTTTGGATGCTAGGGTTTCTTTGAAGAGGGAGCTGCCACGGGTGTGTACAAGAACACCAGAATCAGCTAGGGTAGACGAATGGAGAACCACGAGGAGAAAGAAGGGGAATGGAAAACAAGGAACGGGGAGACAAATGCGGTGCCCAACTGACAACATCCCATCTTGCATCTGATGGCGCCGATTGCACGGAAGACATGCTCCGTAGGTTTCAAGTCTCATCAGCATAAGTAATCAGTTTAATTGAAACAAAAGAATGTTTGTTTTGTTAGTTGAGTCTTGTTACCTTGGGATCGCGATCTCTGAGACGGTCGAAACATGGGTTCATGAGGAAAATGTCTTGACAACGGATCGCCTAGTCTTGAAACGATCGACCTACCTAGCCCACGCGTCACGCTATTGACGGGCTGCAGAAACGACAGGACAGACTCTTGTCCATCGGCTGGAAACAGACTTCACCGTCTCGCCCGCAAGACCAAAGAAATGTTGGCATTAGCATTGTACAGTAAAGCACTGCACAGCACAGTCACTACGATACGACGCTTAGCTACGACGCATGGTGCCCAGTTAATCAAGTGACAAGTATCTACCTAACTATTCAACTCGAAGCAGTACCTAAACATCGGCTAACTAGGCGCTGAGCGTAAATGACTGATTAGCCAAGGCAAGTACAGTTCCTGGCACTTGGTAGCCAGAATTACGATCCGTCTACGCTCTTATCACATCAGAGCATCGCTGGGCGCTTGCCAGCTACGATGGGAAGAGTCTCGAGGCTGAAGCATCGACAGGGGTGAACATCGCAACACAATCGGAGCTCGTCCTTTCGAAGCCAAATTGGTGATCCAGACGGGCGGGTCCCTCCACAAGGAATCGAGCGGCTGCTGCACCAGGGCAGGGCCGCCAAGGCACATGGATAAAGAAAAGAAAAGGAAGGGAAAAAGAAATACATACCTAGTAAATTAGAGGACGGATCTGTCGGGGAGCCAACAAAGATCTGATTGACAGTCGAGAACGGTGGATACCGCATCTCACAACGCAAATGATAACTAATCCCTAATACCCAGCGAGTCAGATTCAGAAGTGTCAGGCGGAGAAAAGAGAGAATGTGCGATACTCATCACCCATGACGATGTTTCGAGCTCAGATCTTGGTTCCTTTATTAGCGCCCGAGAAGTCTCGGATGGCCGTGAATTCGATTTGTATCGTCTAGGTGCCGATGTCTTGACATTGGCTCATTCTTGACCAATTTTTGTGTCGGCCAAACGAACGTTGTTACTTCCAAGTAACAACGCAGACCCTTAGTGGTTCACCATCATTAGAGACATGATGAGCTGAGCTGAGAGCTTGACTTTTCCGATGAACTCTCTAGACTCTCTGACTCTGTCGACATCCACACCCTTTTGAACCAAATCTTCGAACTAGTTGCTCCGTACACTGTCACTGATGAGCTAGGATCTCACCAGTGGAGACGGGAGATGGCTTTGCAGAGCTCAAAGTTCGCTTCTTTATCCGAAAGTGGAGAGCTTTTTCAACCACCGCAACCATACCATAATAAACGCCCTTGTTGGGTGTTTCGCAACCGACCACACAAACATGACCCATGTTCCCCTCATGTTATTGAACCTCCAGCTTTGTCGACCTAGGATATTTCGATCTCCATGAGGTTCTGGAATTACAATCATCAGATCCCATTCTTATTTAACTGCCTTGTTTGGGCTGACTCGATTGGCAATGGCTGGGTCGAACAAAGACTCTACATACCTTAAGTAGCGAGCAAAGCCCTCAACTCGGAACATTTCTTGCCCACTATCCAGATCTAAAGTAGGTGGTCAGCATTGGGGAGGTTGAGAAACCTTGAATCGAATGTGAAATCTACAGAATTCATAGTGAAATATCTATCAGCCCAGAAACTGTGGGTAGCAATGCCTGTCTTGAAACAGCATGAGCTCTCAGGTCAATGTACATTCTCTGGTTGCAACCTCACGAGGTATTACTACCCCAACTTGTTTCTTGGTTGGAATGCGCTGTCGGACTTTTCGGGCCGGACCATCGTCTCCGGCCTTCATTCCCCTTGGTCCACAACGAAGAGGTACCCAAAGCTACGAGCGTGCACTAACAATTTCTTGAGTTTCCTGGCTGCCTGACTGCATACACGTCCCGGGAACCTTGAGCGCTAGTCCCTTTTTATCCGAGATACTGGCTTGTGCCACGTTTGTCCGCCACTGATAATCCCGTCTTATCCAATCATTGTCAACAATTCCTCGGCACAAGCCACAACTGTTTGTCAGCCATGGGAATTAAAAGCATCTCAGTGTCGATCCTTAACATTCCCATTCATGCTTAACGATACGGAGTACGGATACACTCAGCACCTTTACAACCACTTAATCTGCAGCCACCACCATATGACGTTTCTGGCTCCCCCGCAACGAGACGGCTAGATTGGCTAACGCATTTTAAACTCTAGGAGGGCAGAACAAGAGCTAATATCAGCACGATCGAGCAGTGCCCCTCCCCTCTAATTGCCAGTTCCCAGCGTCGATATGAGATCAACGTAGCGTACGGCAGAGAGAGAAGCAGAGATGGAGACGACGCGCAGATGCCACCACGTCTGCACGTGCTACCGTGTGTATCTAGGCGTTCGTGTTGGTGGTGGTGGTGGTAAGCAGCGATTTGCCCCTGCATGCCAATTCGTTACTCTCAGATTCTCCAACAAGTGCTTCCCAAGCTCCGAGGGAAGCCCGAGGAAGCCTGAGGTTTAACGCCCTCGCAACGAAACCGAAATCCCAGAAAGGTTTCCAGCAATCCGGGGCGCACGGAGCGCCTCCGGCACAAGGTTTCCCCGTGCGCAAGTTCCGGATCGTGGCGAGTTTGACAATTGTGCAGCAAATGTGACAAAAGAAATTCGCAAGATCTGTTCATTGAGGAGATGAGTTGATTTGTAATGTCTGCATTACATCAATATCACACCAATTCTCAAGGATATCACTGTTCGCCCCCTGGGCAATGCTCACAACCTGAGGACGTTGCAGGGGCTTGTGTGGATTCAGGTATCCTTGGAAGGGGTGATTGTTGGGTAGGTAATGATCGCACATTGAATCATTTATACGACATGCGAGATCTTATTTCCTACGCTACGGCAGATAGTG